GATAAGTAAAAATAGATAACGAAAGAGGTCAGCGTTGAAAGATGACAGATGCAATTAGATCTGTTTATAGTTCTGCTCAGATGTAAACTGCTTTGCACGACAGAAAAAAACGAATTTTACAAAGTCTATAAAGAAAGAGTTTCAATGCAAAAGCCGTTAAGAGAAGCTAAAATGTTCTTCTCGAAGATAAGTTTAGCAATTGTTAATTTGATGAGCACCATATCAAAGCAAAAAAAAAATCATTACAGTTATATAAGGTTTAAAAATACCAGGGAAATATTAATAGCAAGTTAATGAACAACGTATAGTTAAGACCGAAGGCTGCTATAACTTCATTGAAATGGACTGCGAACACGGAATTCTACTTTTTAGCTGTCTAGTACATTTTATAACTGACTAACGTGGTTTTCACGTTCGTAAAACATGTTCTGAGATGAAAATGTTAGTTCGACGAGTAAATTTCAAAATTGCTTCAACATTTCATATGTCGGTCTAGCCCCTTGTTCGCTTAAATTGCGAGAAAGCTGCTGATGCAAGATTAACTGACTCAAATAAATCCTGATTCTACAAACCTTTGACTAATAACGATTCTTATCACGATGCAAAATTGTGTCTCCTCCGAAAAACGTTACTCCAGAGTTTTGAACCCATGCTACAAGCAGCGATTATTATTTTTCTTCGCAGGAATTTTGCCGTGAGCGTGACACGGTAGTATGGCATATTGAATTCATTTGTGTCAAAGTTTTCAACAGCTAGGAGATTTACTGAGATTAGTGTTATTTGAAATGGATTAAATGAACGTCTCCTGTCCGCAATTTTAAGGGAGCAAGGTCATAGCATTCATTTCCATTTCTTGACTACTTTATTTCTTATGACGATCTTCCCATTTGATCATTTGAGAACTCTCAGCTACATAGCAAACAAAGAAAGTTCCTGTTTTCTTTTCCGGCAAGCTGAGTGAACGTGACTTTTTGAGACTTTCTGTTGGCCAGACGGCCACAAACCACGTCACAATTTTGCAATCTGTTCAAATCCAGCTTTCCTTGTTTTCGTTTTAGTGCTTACGCGAAACATGACTAAGTCGCCTAAAATAGCTTCACATGGTCCCTTTAATTAACCTTCACTTCCCTCAGCTTGAGGTAAGTTGTTTTCTGATAAATCTTGTTCGCTTAATTGGACTTCTTCACACCTCTAAAACGAATTCCACTTTAACCAACTTCCTTTAATTCACATTGGCGTTGTCTGCTTTGCTGTAACTGTGTCAAAGTCTCACGCTGAGTTTATCTCGGTTCCATTATGTTTTACTCATTAACGCGGGAAGTTTGACGGGTAATCTTTGGCCTCAACTGAAGTCCAGTCTACTGCATTTTGATAGTCTACAGGATTTAGGTATCGGGCTGTAATGCTCTCGATGCTTTGGCTGAAAAGATGGTAGGGCAGTCAAGAACAAAATACAAAAATAACTAAAAACTCATAAGAGCACTCTTTAGCAGACTCAGGGTGGAGAACATGTTATTCAGTCATTACAAGAGGAGAAGAAACATAACTAGAAGTCGAAGAGAGTTACAAGTAGGGTTTCATGTTCAAATTAAAAAACGTGTTCAAACGTTGTTGTTTATAGTGATCAATGCGCTTAGCTACACCTAGCTAGTTCACAGGCATGCCACTTAAACTGAAAGAAAGAAATATATCAACTAAAGATACTACTAGGCTCAGAAAATTCCAACTGGCGGGAGGCAGACCAATTGGGCATTTACAACCATGACCTAGAGTCTAACGAGAAACAACTTCAGCGAAATTGTCATAGCGAATGATAACATTTTTAATACCACACCCAGTTCCAAGTGGAGCCTCTGTTAAAAAATTTAACAACAAAAGATACAGAAAAAACTAAACAGTACACGCGGACGTAATAAAGGGTTGCTCATCGGGACCTCATTCCGCACAGACCTAAAAACCGATTGCCTGGAGCTGTTGGATTTTGCAGTTTGGCTCGTGGA